AGGTCCCAGCCGTGGGCACGGTAGGTCTCTAAAAGCTGCTCCCTAAACCACGAGGGGTGCACAGCAAGCACTGGACCCCCGACACAGTCTTCTTCCACACCGTTCATCTTCCTTCCTGCCCATCGTTACCTAAACATATGGTCTGAATTTTCCCGAGAAAGTGCAGTGAGCTTGGAAATTAGTCAGGAGCCTACTTCAACACAGGAATGGACGCAGAGTGAGGTGAGGGGACACAACAGGCTTGACTGGAGAGGAACTGAAGTCTGGAAGCATCAAAAAAAAAAAAAAAAAAAAAAAAAAAACCCAGCGCCGGGAGTCTGAAAAATCATTTGCAAGTTGGCCAGAGGCGCTCAGCAGTGATGCCCTCAACGTGTTGTTCGAAGGGCTCTCCGGGTTCTCCTCCGCCGCCAGAGCCCTCCATAGAATGCCCCTGCCCCTCCCTCCTCCCAGCCCTGCGGCCCCGCCCCTCCCCCCATGGAACGTCTGGACCCCCAACGTTCCAGCCCTGTTAACTTTCAAACCTTACCGGGTTGACTTTCAAATCTTACTGCAGTTAGACCTGAATGCAGTTAGACCTGAACGCAGTTAGACCTGAACGAGCACTTGCCGCAGACGGTCGCACTCTGAGTATCTCCCTTCCGTCTTCTCACGGTGGCAGCAGCTAGAGTCGAAGTCAGGGTCCACATCTGCGGGGATGTTTTAGGAGGTAAGCACAGAGGCGGGGACATCTTATCCAACTCTTGAGCTGTTGGAAATTTGAATTTGTACTTCCCCTGTGGACTTTCAAAGAGACATCAAATGGGAAACAGGAGGATTTTGTTCTAATCTGAGAGTACGCTAGCTTAGCTGGTAAATTTTTTTTTTTTTTTTTTTTTTTTTTTTTTTTTGTCTTTTTCCTTTTTATCGGTACCGGGGATTGAACTCACGACTGCCAGCTTGCAAGGCAGGCGCTAAATCCCAGCCCCTTGGCTGGTAAATCTAAAAAGGCTGAGCAAAGGGCCAGACAGGTTCCAGCTTTTACACATTTGGTTAAGGGGGGTTGACTTGTGGGTGGGCAGAAGGAGAACAAAGGCAGTTTGTCAAGATGTGACAGTTTGGTATCCTGGTGGCGCTTCTCAGACCTAACAGGATACTATGGGAAAGAGGTGATAACATCTTACTAAGGCTGGGAGTTACTGCTCCACCCTGGGCACAGGTAGTTGAGTTACCTAAAGAAAACTGGCCAGGGCTTCACCAAGGACAGCTCCACTGGGAGGGAGGCTGTGAGCCATCAGGAGGCAGTGCCCCAGTGATGCTCACTCAGGAGGACCTAGTTCAAGGCCCCTCAGGAGGAACATGCTGGATCAGGGAAGGGATGGGAGGAAGCAGATTTATCCTCTCCGGAAAGGGAGAGGTGCTACTTCAACAGGGTTTACAGACAGTGGCGGGACAGGTCCTGGTAGAGACAAGGGGAAAGCCTGAGTCCTCTGTCCTTCCTTGAGGACCTGGGACTTGTGTGTCACACTGCTATGAGGGGCCCGGCTGAGTTCCTCTTCAGAGGGCAATGGGGAGAATGATCTTAGAGAACTGCTTGGCCTAGCTGTGCAGTGAAGTCTCCTCATATGGGCGAGGCGGGGGCTACTCAGTGGCCCCAGCCCCGAGACCCCCAGGCGCCTCCTCACTCAGGGAAGGCTTCTCCCTCTGTCCAAGAAGCAGCACAAAAGCTTCTCCAGCACAGGGCTCGGGCCTCCTGAGTTGTTCTGAAAGGGCATCATTTTCACCAAAACAGGCCTTCAGAGGCTCTCAGTGCTGTCCGCTGTCAGCGGTGGCCCCTCGGCCCTTCACTGCTGGCCTGGGGGACCCTGCGCCTCTCCCTGCCTGGCGCTCCGTGTGCAGGGTGCCTGTGTGGGGTGCTTATTCCCCACAGCAGACTCTGGGGCAGCTGCTGTCCATACTGAGAGCAGGTGGCGAGCAGCTCACGGTTGCAAGCTCCTTCACTGTTGTGTTAGTGCTAGTTTAGGACAGGCATGCTAGTTGTTTGGTGCCACATTGGGGACCTTGCTCTCCTTAAGCAGAGTCTGTATGAGGCCCTACTGCCCACGGATGGGCTCCAGACACTTGGCTCATGGAGGATCCACGGGACTCTTTCCTTTCCAGTACTGGAACCCCAAGGGAAAAACTCCACAGATAGGATCCAGTTCCACAGCCACTTCTGACAAGCAGCAGCTCTGCAGTTCCCTGAGGACTCTTGGGGAGCCCCGCAGCCACCACACATTGACTCTCTCTGGTCTTGTGCAGAAACTCCTGTTTCCGCAAGGACAGGTGTCCAGGGAGCCTGACACCTATCTTCCAGGTCTTCCATGGGAATAGAGCCTCAGGGTCAGGGCAAGGACCACTGATTACTGGGGACCAAACTGGGCAGGGTCAGCCCCCTCTGAGTGGGATGGACCCCTTCTGGGGTTGTCTTCAGGGTCCGCAGGAGCCAGTGTGGGGAAAGGTTTTATTCCCCACGTGGAAGACCAGGGTTTAGAAGGAGCACAAGGAAAAGGAAGCATCCCTTGGGGGAGGGAACGCCCAGGAGCTGCCTTGGACAAGGAGGGGCTGGGAAATCTCAAGACCGGAAGCAAGCTCCTGGCTGGAGGATTGTGAATGGAAGGAAGAGATGAAACTTCACTCCGGACATTTGCTAACTGCAAAACACCCCTGTTCACCCACCCTGAACTGATGAGATTTGCCCTGTGACTCCTGGAGACACTGATGTGGGAGGAAGGGCACCTCCTCTGCTGTTCCCTCCCCCACCCACTCCTTTTTTCTCTCCACAGGGTCACCAGTGCTTCAGCCAGATATGGCCCTGAAGTCTCATGTCGTCCCATCTCCTCCTTGGGTCCTGCCCTCTCTGCTACCTGTCCCAGTCCCAGTATACCAGCTGCCCTGGCAGCCATTGTCATCCCCCTTTGGGAATGTACCCTTTCCTCAGGGTCACTCCCTGGTGCTTTCCCCTCTCCCCAGCACACCTATGGTGGTAGGACATGGAAATTATAGCCTGACTAGGGCTGGGTCCGCCACCCTCACTGCCCATGCCAGAACCGAAAGGAGGCTGGCAGGGTCCCTACTGGCTCATGATGTTGTCTTAACTCAGGGCCCACTCGCTGGGGGCATCCCAGGGGTCCTGCAAGGCGGGGTGCAGCATCCTGCTCCCCTGCTGCTGAGTGCTCCGCCTGTGAGCACCATCCTGCCTACCCCAGCTGGGGTCAGCATCCCTGCTGATGACTGGATGTGGCCTTGGGGCCTTCGACCCCCACCCATACCGCCAGTGTCTCCCATCATGTCTGGCGAGAACAGGGTGCCGTCACCACACTGGGCCTGCGGGGAGGGTGGCCTGGCCACCTCCTGGCCCAACGCCTCTCCAGATGACATCTGCAAGTCCCCGAGCCTCTACGAGAACTTTCGGTACTGGCAGCATTTCAAGGTCCTGCTCCGGAGACTCTTTCCCCTCACTCCTGATGTGGAGGCAGTGTCCTGCTTTCTTGTGTGAGTGCCCTCCCAGGGCCCCATGAGAGGGAGGTGACAGGAGAGGGGTGCAGAGGGACTGGCAGGAAGTACTGAGGATGATGGAGCAGAGCAGGGGTGGGAAGAGCGCCTGCTCTTAGGAGATTACTGCTCCCCTCTAGTGCAGCCAGGGTTCTTTGTCAGTAGTCATCACTGGGACGCCCAAGACAGAGAAGGGTAGAGAAGGCTCCTGGTGTCACAGGAGCCACCATCCAGGTTCAGGACCATGCCAGGGTCCCTCCCCTTGTTTTTACCTTGCATCATGGACCTGTGGGTTTGTGGCCCAGAAGCCACCACAGCTGTAGAAGCTACAGAACCTGACAGGGAAACTGACCCTTGTTCCCAGCCCTGTTTGGGGAACCACAAGGGCAGAGCATCGTGCAGGGCAGAGGTGGCAGTGCACTGGGTGTGCAGGGTGGGGTCATTTGGGGATGGGGGTTAAGGTGGGGACGGCAACTAACCCCAAGCACTTGCAGGCCGGTGCTGCGATCCCTGTCACAGCAGCAGCTGAGCCTGAGCGTGGAAGAGGGGCTGCGCATAGGCCTGCAGGAATGGGACCGCACCAGCAACTATGATCGCATGGCCTTCTACGAGGTGGCTGAAGAGTGAGTCAGGGACCTGGTAGCCTGTGGCCCAGAGCAAGTGGGCTGTGCAGCAGTGTCCGGGGGCTTGTCACCCAGTGTCCGCAGGGTGTCTGCTGGCACAGGCCCCACCCCTGGTCACCTTGGTCCTCTGCAGGCTGCCCCTTCCTCCTGGAGGGCCGGGAGTTCTCAGTGTGGGGGTCGCAGGAGCTCTGGCCTCACTGACCATGGGGCTCTTCCCACAGTGGGGGCTGAGTAAAAGGGACAAGTGCCACCAGCCTCATGCTGCTCCCTGTTAAAAAAGAAGGGGCTATCTCTGCCCATGAAAGGGACCAGGCTGTATGACCTGAGGTCCCAGGAGGGGGCGGAGAGGGGACCGCACGGTCTGGGGAAGATAGTCTCTCAGGCACCCCGAGGACACGTCCTTGCCATTGCTGCTTTTGCTCTGCCTAATCTGTTCTGCTCAAATGCACACCCAGAGAAACAGGAGGACAGGCCACAGAGGATAGTAACTGACCTCTTCTGCTGGGCTCCACTTTCTCCTGGGCCCTGCTCCCCCGGGGCATCATTCCAGGACTCAGTCCCAGCTCAGGAGCCCTGGGTGGACAAGGATTCCTGGTGACCTCTGCTGTAACTCACATCCTGGCTGGCTTCAGGCAATTGGTTCTGGTGGCTGTGTGCAAGGCTGGGACAGGCCTGGATGGGGTCACCTGAGGGCTCTACAGGTCACCTCAGCCTAACTTGATCCCCTGAGGGTGAGAAAGGGTGGGTCCAGAGCTGTAGTCCTGTCCTGGGGTCAGTGCCCTCTCAAGACTAGACCAATGCATCTAGGCCGCTGCTCCCCATCCAGCCAGTGGCTTCAGCCTGGGCCTCTCCACACCCCAGGTTCATGGCCTTTGAAGCTGCTGAAGAGATAGAAAATTCTAGATTGCAGATGACAGGGGAACTCCAGGGCTGTCCACTTCCTGTCCCACTGGGGCCAGATCCTCCAAGGCCCCCAGTTCTTCAAGATGTCCAGCAGCCAGGTAGGGCTTCCCATCTCACCTGGGCCCACGGCAGAGGCCAGAGGGGTGGAGGGAAGTTGTAGCCCCACATCTGTTCAGTTTTCAACCCAGGTGGGGCATTGGCTTTTGAGAGCAGAACATCCCTCAGGGCATGGGGTTCCTGAACTCTTGAACTGGGTACTGATCAGACCTGCAAGACCCAAATCCACCATCCACCCAGGACTTGGAGGGGACAGTAGCTGACCTTTTGGTGGCCCTGCATGTCCTCCATGTGGTGGTGTCCACAGTCCACCTCACACAGTCTCCCTCACAGGTTCTGAGGCCAGGTTGTCCTGGACATCCTGGGTGACATTAGGTCCCCTGAGTTCTACTTCCCCAGTGGGAGCCCCCATCCACACACCACTGCCCTCCTCCATTTCAGTGCATGACCCCAGGCAGACAAACTCCAAGGAACAGGCTGCCTGCCCGCCAGCACACAAATGCCAGCAGTCCCAGGAGACCCAGGTGCCTGGTGACATTCCTGATGATGCTGTGAAGGAATACATGGAAATCATGGACTGGCTAGAGGACCATCACCTCTTGGCCACAGGGGAACCTGAAGAAAACCAGGAAGAGGGGCAGCAGCAGGAAGAAGAAGAGATGTACCCAGACCTGGATCTCTTGAGTTACTTGGATGAGCTCTGCTCCCAGGAAGACTTCATCTCCAAGGTATGCAGGGGCTGGAGGGGGGGCTTGTCCTTAGGCTTCTAGGAGCAGCGTCCCAAGCCTTTGGAATTTACCGATTCCTTTACTACCCAGCATGCCTCAGGCACATGTGTGTGCGTGTATGTGTTTACACATGAGCTCCGGTCTCATTGGGAATGTGTTTGTCAGTCCACATGAGTGTGGCTGATGATCATGATGATTAACAACCCCATGGCATGGACCAGAACAGGCTGGACAATGCTTCCTGCTTCTCCTGGGTTTCCCCTGGGCTGAGAGTTGCTCCTTACCAAGGACACTCATGGTTCTCATGGGTTTTTCTTCTGATCCAGGTGGAGGCCATTATCAACCCCCAATTCCTGGTAGAAGCAGAATCTGAAGATGTGGAGAAGGACATCATCTTGGCTGTAGGACAGGTGCTAGAAGATGAGCATGGATTCACTCCTGAACAGGTAGGCCAGAGGCATGAGGGACACCAGGGAGACCAGGGCAGGGCACCAGGCCAACCCAAGGGAGGGGGCAGCAGGTGGACAAGTGAGAGAGGGGGCACCAAGCAGAAGAGGGGAACACAAGGGGAGAGGGAGACAAGTGACAGAAGGACACCGGGTAGATGTGAAGGAGGGACATCAGGCAGACAGGGGAGGGAAAGACACCAGGAAGGGCATCAGGATGGGGAGGGGACCCTGCACACCAGGCCCACAGGACTCTGTCTAGCCCTACCCAGTGGGAACTGCTGCCTCCTAGAGAGGGCTGCACCCTGCTGGGAATGAGCGTGGACAGGAAGGGAGGAGACAGACAGTGGGAGGGCTGGGGGCGCACAGCTGGAAGGAGGCCAGCAGGGCTGTCCCAGGGCCTCGGCCTCAGCCTCTGACACCAAGACAAGTGACCCCCCAGAGCCCGCCTCCTGTTCAGATGACCCCACCCCACCCCATCAGCCCTCTTCATGCCTGGGGCAGACCCAGCAAGTGCCCGCTTCCTCCTGCAGCTGGTGGAGAAGCGCCTCCTGGGCTCCAAGGTACAGGAAGGTGTGTACAGGCCCAGTAGCCCAACGGCACCCCAACCTGCTGCCCTCCAAGATGCAGAGCGAGATGACCATGAGCCCAAACAAAGGGTCAGCAAGGAGGCCTGCACCCCTCCAAAAGCTTCTCAGGTCCTTAAGAGATGCCGGGCCATTGATGAAGATCTTCCAGGGTCTGAGGTCCCTCCTGTCCTGCACAGGCGACAAAGTCCTGCTCCCCTGGGAGCCTTCAGTCATAATGCTCTTCCCCAGGACCTGGCACCCCAATGTGCCCTGGGCCTCAGAAACACCTCTCCTACTCCGGGGCTGTGGGATCCGGCATCCAGCCTGGGTGAGGACGAGGAAGACTTCTCCAGCCTGTCCTTCCTGCTGGCCTCCCCTCGCCAGCTGCTGCCCTGGGAATTGTCCCAGACTCCAGGCCCTGATGTGGGCCTCCAGGGCCCCAATGGTCCAGCACCCCAGGCCTCACCTCCCCAAGGAGGAGGCCTCAGCCCTGGCCTCCCTTTACCTGCCAGATCCAAGAAGCGAGTCCGCTTGGGAGGCTCAGCTCCTGTGGGAAAGAGGTCCCGCCTAGGGCCTTCCTATGAGGTCTCTGGAGGCCAAGATTTGGCTCAGGGGCAGGTTCCACTCTCAGGGCCTCAGAAGCGGCAGTGTAACAAGTTAGGCTCCCAGAGATGGAGGAAGAAGCACTGAAACCAGAAGGCTGGTGGGAAGACCTTGGGGTGCTTGTCCCTCAGGTGGGGCTTAGCAGATTTCACCCTAGCTGCATCCTGCACCCCATGAGCCAGACAGAGTTCCCTCAGAATTCTGATCCTGCTCCTCTGGGGCATGGAAAGGGAGGGGAGGGGGGGTGTGTGGGTGGTGGTGGGGTTGTTCTTAGCAATGTAAATAAAGATGTTTGATTGGAAAATGCTCTGGGGCTGCCCTGTCCTGTCTCAGGCTTTGTCCCCTCTGGGGAGTGAGGAGCACAAGCAGAGAAGGACCCAATGCATGGAGGTCTCCCTGGCAAATGGGGCTCTTCTTTCCCCTGCTCCAGAGAGCAGACAGGCTGAATGCCCCCTGTGTCCCCTTTACTCCCCAAGCATCAGGCCTCGTGTGGGCATCCTGACTTCAACTGCATCCTTCAAAGTCCCTTTCAGCCCTTTCTACCATTAGCCAGGGTGCTGGCATGGAGCCTGCAGCTGGCAGTTCTCTTAGAGGGCTTCTTTCCTCTTCTAGAAAGAGCCTGGAAGGGAGGCTGGGCTGATGCTCTGCTCTGCTCGGCCCTCCTGAGCAGTTGGTGTGAGCAGAGGACAAGGCCTGGCTACTATGGAAAGAAGCCGTTGCATTCAGGGGACTTCAGCTGATAACTCCAGCAAGGCCTAATGAAAATGCTTCCTTTCCTGGTAGTCACCAGTGTTAGAGTATTCTGGCACAACAGAGAAGCAAAAGTACAAAATGAACAAGTTTACTGAGTTGAGGTTGTAGGAAGAAGCACACAAACATGGCAGTGGGGCTGTCTCCTTCGACTGGATACAGAGAGGCAGAGGGTTATAGGACCTCTGATCAGAAGTGGCGCATGGGGCAGATATTGATGACGTGTGAGGAACCCATTGAAATTCTCTGTGTGTGCAAACAGGAAGGAGAGTTGCAATTAGGGCTGAAGAAGAAGCAGGAAGTGGTAAGCATTCCTGCTTTGGCCTTACACCACATTAGACCACCACCATAACCGTACAGTAATTTATTCTAGGGTAAAACACTTTCATTCCCGGCTTTGTATTATTAGGAAAAGGGTGAAGTCTCTCTCTTACTGCTTCCTGCTGAAATGGGGCACCGTATTGGGCTTCGGGAAGGTTGACGGGATGAAGGTTGATGAACTTATAGAAGCTGGTATCAAGTGTTTCTGCCAGGACAAGGAATTAATCATTGGTGAATGTTCGCATCCTAGATTCAAGAAATAAAAACACAAGGTGCTATGAGGAGGCAGGCCACTATCAAATTTAAGGATCCAGGAGAGGTAGAAGGAAAGGTGCCCTTGATCTAAATGTCATTCCATCAGGGCCATGGTGAGAAGAATCTAAAAAATAAGCATGGAACTGGGAGGGGTGGAGTTACGAGAGGTAACTATGCCCCATGTGAAAGGGTAGAAGTTAAAAGTGTAGGTAGGACTTGTCCTTGTTTTAGGAGTTGAGCTGGAAAGAATAAGCATGCGAAATACAAGGCCTGACGATTGAATCATATTTGGGAAATTATAGAGTAGGGGTGGGGAGGTCTGTGGCTGTGTCACTATAAGTGACATGAGATCTTAGACCTACAGGAGTCTCATGTTTAGCTAAACAGCTGAGGGTGGAGAGAACTAAGATAGTTATAGTGAAAACATTAACTAATAGAATATAAGGGATCAGGAACCAAATAGAATAACAACACATGACCCAGCCTGAAAATTGTGGCTGTGGGGCCTTGGTGAGATGGAGACAGGAGATAGGAGATGAGATGACCACTCAGAATGTTTAAAGTCAGGGGAATTAGGGTTAGCTTGAGTGATGTGGAACCAGGATGGCAGTCCAGCGACCTTGACCGCCAATGAAGTCCTGAGGAAGACCAGGTAGGGGGCCACTGCATTTCAGTTGTACTCCTGTTGAGAGATCTGAGAAATAAAGACTGGACCATTACCTGACTGAATACTCTGAGGTAAACCAAACCTTGTGATGATTTCCTGTAACACAAGTCTAGTAACTACATCAGCAATCTCCCTGGTTGTGGGAAAGACTTTTATCTATCCTGAAAAAGTATAAACAAAGGTGAGAAGATATTTGAGAGTTTTGTGATGGGGCATGTATGTAAAATCTACCTGTCAGTACCGACTAAGAATGTGTCTGAAAAATTGACGAATAGCAAAGGAAGGGGGTGGTATGTGTCCCAAGGAGAGGTTTTACTGTAGAGATGACAGGTGTAAGTTGTTGAGACTTCAGAGTGTCTGGGTCAGTCTAAACACACAGGAATCCTGACAATCAGGGTGTAGGAGGGGATGGTAAAAAAAAAAAGGCATTTTTAAGGTGTAGGACTATGGAGTCCTACATAGTGGACCATGGTGGAGGGAGGGATATGAGAGGACATAGTACAAGGGTTTGGCACCATTGGGTGAATTGGGGTAATAGCATCATTGATTACCCTAAGGTCTTGTACCAGATTATAGGACACATTAGGCTTGGGTACTAGGAGAATGGGAGTATTATAGGCTGAATAAGTTTAAGAAAACTATTGTCTATAAGAAGTTTGATTATAGGTTTAAGTCCCCCATAAATGTTTGGGAGCTATAGATTATTGGGAAATGCAAGGAAAAATTGAAAGATCCCTGAGATGAATTAAAATAGGCATGGCATGGGTAGTATGGGTGGGATTGGAGGTATCCCAAACTATGGGATTGACCAGAGAAGAAGGGAATGGAGGTGATGGCTCTGAGGGTGTCTGGAAGACTAGAGCTTTGGGGAGGAAGAAGGTTAAGAAGAAGTCAAGCTTTTGAAGGAAATCTCCACCTAAAAAGGGTGTCAGACATGTTGGGATTACTAGGAAGCTATGGGTAAAGAAGAGAGTCTGGAACCTGCATGGAATAGGCCCTGTCTGCAGGGACTGCATAGGTTGGCCATCAACACCCAGTACAGAGACTGAGGACTTAATACAATGGCCTGAAAACTGAGGAAGAACACTATACATGCCCTCTATGTCCACAAGTACAGATAATGTCTTACCTGAGACCTCCAGTGGGACTTGGGGCTCTGAGAAGGACACCTTAATGGGGGCTGTGGACCCTGAGCCCCATCAGACTTCAGCAGCAGGTCCGAGTAGATCAACCAGCAATGAATGCAGTGGTGACAAGATCTCCTGTGAGGGCAAGGATTTAGAGGGTGGCTTACCTGCTCTCTAGCGGCTAAAACAGTTGTTCTTCCAATGGCCCTTGAGATTGCAGAAGGGGCACTCTCTTGCCCAGTGTCCTTTTGGTCGCACTTGAAGCATAGCCCAGGACCGGCTCAAGAAGCTCCACCTTGTCTTGGGAGCCCCAAGCATCACTGCTAAAAGATCAGATTGCTATTTTTCCTTTTGATTTTTATCTCTGTTGTTGGAAACATGAAAAGCCATATTAAGAAGGTGTCCCTGTGGGGCTTAAGGGCCAAGTTTAACCTTTTGTCTTGAGATCTGGCCCACAGTGAAAGGTATCTGTCTCCTCCACACTCACAAGACATCTGGTTCTCTTTGCTGGCTATTTTGAGGCCCTAGCTCTGTCTGACTGCCCATAACACTTTTTTTTTTTTTTTTTTGGTATTGGGGATTGAACTCACAACCTCGCACTTGCCAGGCAGGTGCTTATGCCATTGAGCTAGATCCCCAGCCCCTAACATTTTTAACTGACTTAACTGCCTGTAGCATTTTCTTCTCTGAAGAAGTAGCCCAAACTGCTGTGAGTGATAATGGGTGGAGACCAATCTGACTTCTTCAGGCTGAAGGGGTTGCAGTTGCTGAACGGCAGTCAGGGACACTCTACAGAGCTTTTAACTAGAGGCTCTGAGTAGATAGCAGGCATTTTCTCTTTTTTTTTTGTCTTTTTCCTTTTTATCAGTACCGGGGATCAAACTCACGACTGCCTGCTTACAAGGCAGGCGCTTATGCCACTGAGCTAAATCCCCAGCCCCGATAGCAGGCATTTTCATCTTGGGTAGGTGTACAGTCTTAAGTCTTTTTTATTTAGGAGAGAGTTGAGCTGCAGTGTCATTTAGGGCCAGTTGAGTATAGTTAATTATGGTTTCAGTATACATCATATAACCTTTTTCTGGAAAAGATCTGGTGGATCCCAGTAAAAGGAATCTAAAAAGAATTTAGTATATTTGTTATGACACCTTGGGGTTTGGCACCTTTTCAGCAAAAATAAACTTTAATCAAAGCATGCCTAATCAAAGTGTAAAAAACATGCATAATCAAAGCACGAGCAGTAGGTCTGACAGTTAAGTTTACAAACTGCTTTTAGGTTATAGCAATTGTAACTCATTGGCTCTTAGGTCCTTTTGTTGATGGCCATTACCTAAATTTTTGTTTAAAAATTATTATTTGACTGATAGCCTCTTGTTGATTTGACTTGCATCTCTTGGCTGAAGCACAAGAAAAAGGCAGATGTCTGGGTCTGAAAGAAAATATTTATCATCATAAACAATCCTAATTTTTTATTTGAAGGCATGAATTTACCATCAGATCAGCAACAATGAATTGTCTTAGTCATATGAACTTTAGTTGACATGTCTCCCATAAGGCTATGGAGATTACTGGGGCCTCCGATTAATGAACAAGAGCTGGTTAAAGTTACCAGGTGGCCACTTTCTTATTCACCAGTTGAAGCCCTGTCCAGTGTCTCCTTACCTCAAGGGATTTTGTTTAACCAGTTTTAGCATCATTTTGAACAGCTGGCCACCTAGGTGGAAGCATGCTTTTTAAATCTATAACCCAAAAAAACCTTGATAAAAAGATCTGAAAATGCAAAAGAAAAAGGAAAAAAGACTGTTGAGCTAAGAAAGGAACAGCTGTTTACAGAGCAGGCAAATGGACAAACATGGACAGATGATCTGTACAGTATAAACAGACTACAGATACATAGACTGACAAACATGTTACAAACTCAGAGTGCACTCAAAAAATATTTGGCCAAATTGAGCTATAAAAAATAGACTAGTGTAAACCCTTTTGTAGATTAATTAACAGAAAGCTCTTGAAATCAGAATAACAGAAAAGGAACCTAATTTAG